AATTTAAAAATAGAAATTATTTAAAATTAAAATTTCTTTCTTAAAATCTAGCCTTGCCTTCTTTTTGTATATACATCCGCTGGAGTTTTATATATTGGAGGAACTACTGCCCGACTATATGACCTGGACGGAGGGAATTGATGGACCTAAGGATAAGTATTTAAATGCTGTGGAAAAGGTACGCAAGCTCACAGAAAACCTATACGCGGCTCAAAAGGACCTGCTCAACACGTTGATGATAAACTCAGATGGGGGACCAGATTCGCCTTCTAGTCGGAAGCTGTTTCTAAGCAAAATGCGACGCTATGTGATAGACCTAAGCATGGAGCAGCGGGTATGAAATGGACGCTTGCAGCCACTTTAAGTGAACTAATTCTTACGTGTTGTTTGCAGCCATTCCATGCCTTTTTCTTCATGCAGTCCAGCATACAACATCCGCTGGATTCACCGGTGGCTCTGGCTTTCGTCTGCATACTAATCGATCAGGTGCGCTCACTGTTCAAGGAGGAGCTGCCCACTCACACAATGGAAGTGAATGCCGATTATTTTATTGATGGCACATTTGATTATATGCACTTTGATCGCGTTGGCGGCGTCTTGTCGCACCTGCGTAAGGTCCACAGATCGGACATTGACACATACCTGGGCACAGAGCGCACTCAGCAAATCTATGACGAAGATCGCAACTCCGTAAGAGTTAACGAAGTGGGTATGTATGATGAGTGCATTGGACTTACTTTCCATTTTGATGATATACAACGTTTTCAGATACTACGCTCTACCTACTAGGCGAGAATATTAACAATGTTGCGGTCATTGGACACACACAAGGTGCCAATAATTCAACTTTCACCCATTTCCTAAATCCGCGTACACCTCAAACTACGGATGCAGGTCCCGGCAACTTGTCTTCCGAAGCGAGTCTGTGCGAGCTGCTAGACATTTGCGTGCTCTTCTACTACTCCGCAGGACACAAATACATTGTTAAGATAGCGTCTGTACGGGATGAAATAGCCACACTCAATGAGGTGCTCAAAGAGACGAAATACTATCGCGAAGATATTGAACGTCGGCTGCTAGCACTTGAGCAGCATACGAGTGTCTGCATGAATGAGAATCATCAGCATGTGATGTCTGAGCTACGTTCCAAATTCAGTCAGCGGCAAAATGTGTTTGCGGTAAGAGAATTTACTAAGAATACTTCATTAATTATTGTAGATCAATATTGAGAGCTATTTGATTGGTGCACCCAAGGAGTTCACTTATTGACTACAACTTATCAACTATATACTTTTATATAACACAATCCATAAATTTCTACAGACACGCTCTATATCTCTTGCACGGAAACAAGTTTGGCTTCGAGCAGTAGCCCTAAATAATCACCGACGCCTGTTGTTGATATGGCTATTGGAACGAGTTTTGCGCTCATTATCGGTAGGCAGTTCATATAAATTGCATTTGATTTATTTTAATTAAATTTGTTCCTTTACAGAGCGCTTCGAGCGTGGGCTCACTCTTTGCGTTTGTGCCAGAGGTTTATATAAATACCTTGCCTATTCTGTTGGACAGCGTGATGGACTTCAGTCATCACGATATGTGTACACAGTTTGATGTGTCGGATGCCGAGTGCAGTTTGAATTCGGCGGCAGAGTTTTTGGCAATCCATTCGGCGGACTCGCGTATTGTGCTTGCATCGTGCAAGGACTCTCTGTTGCAGGCTCTGGGCACCCTCACCTGCCACAAGGCGGGCGTACGTGCTCTCGAGCGTAGCTCAAAGCGGGCTCAATCGTCTTTAGTGCGCGCTCTTCTGCGCCCCTATGAGAACCGTGCGTGGGGACAAAGTAATTGGCTACTACTGCGATTCTGGTTAGGCGAGGGCTATGCTTTCAAGGATGCACGCCAGCCCAGCGTATGGCAAGGTGGCTCGCAGCCCCTACACCAGGGCCTGTGCCGAAGTCGCTCGCGAAACGAAACACATACTGGACTATTGCACAATGTGGCGCCGGCAAATCCCTCAAAGCATTTTCAACGACTAATTGGATCTAAGCTATATGAAGACGAGCCGTTTGCCACGACTTTTATGAACTCGGTGCTGAGTCAGCTGAACTGGGCCTTCTCTGAATTTATATTGTTGCTGCAAGAGGTAAAATGTTGAGCTCTTAACAGTTTCCTTTTCAATTACATTCACATTCATTTCTTTTAGATACAAAATACGGCCCAGCGGCAGGAGAACACGCTCTTTGAGCCGAAACAATTAAAGATCTGCTCCATGTGCTTTGAGCTCACTGTTTCGCTGATGCGTTGCCTGGAAATGATAATAACCGTTGCGCCGGACGTTGTGACAGACGAGTCGCGTCCAAATAGTGACTTGCTATTGAATCGTATTTGCCAGCTTATCAGTCAAGTGCTCTCGCGTGTCACTGTCCCACCTGGCTGCTTTCAATTTGTGGTGGACATGTGCTCGGCGGATCTGAATGCTGTCACCCACTTTCCGATTATCACTGCCGCACTGGGTATTCTGATGGCACTGATGCGCGGTGAGTTGGACAGTGATGTGACCCCACAGAAGGTGACTCGCATATCTCGCGCCTTTCTCACCGATCCCAGTTTTCAATTCGCAACGCTGGAGTTTGCGCTGGGTGAGATACGAACGCCGCTGTTGGAGCAAAAAGAGATACCACGTGGCAACTTCGATCCTTCGTCGCGACCACACATCGATCCGCTGACCAACGATGTGCGCCTGCCCCATCTCAACAACTCGAAGCGCATACGCGCAGATCCACCGATCATTAAGTTCGCGCTCTCTGACTGTTAGTTGTGATCCTACTTTGTAGATAGTTTCAGTTTAAATAACTAATCCTCTCTTTCAGATCCGACGCATGTTTCCCACGAAGAAATCGAGGATGTTCGCCATCTAATTGAATGTCTGCGCATCAAGCAGAGCCTGCTCTCAGATATAACGCTGCCGTCGGAGGATTCGCTGTGTCCCATCTGCTGTGCCAAGCCAATCACTGCCGTGTTTACGCCCTGCAAGCATCAATCCTGCAGCGACTGCATCATGCAGCACATGATGAACTCCAAAGTGTGCTTCTATTGCAAGACCACCATACAGACAATCGAACTGTTGGATGGCACCCTCATCTACTCCAATGATGAAATGCTCGCTACCGACAGTGCTTAAACAACAGTAAAAACCCACCGCAGTACACAAAGAACGTCTAGTCACCTTTGAAAAAATTGCTACGCTTAACGTGTGGTGGTTTACACAGAAGTACATACATAGCTATATATTTTTAACTTTAGTTATTCATTTTGCATGCTTTTTTATGCTTGCAATCATTTGAGATGTGATATGCTAGAGCGCAATTTAGACAGCGCTATTAACTAAAACAAAGTACACACTAAATTAAATAGTAGGCACATTAATATATATTGATATATATATATATATATGTATGTAATATGTGACCATTTTATGATCTTTGGTTTACACAATTATTTTGATTATTATTTATGAGCAAACAAACTTCAAAATTCATATTTATAACTATTATATTGTAAGCAGAGAAACTATTTCTAAAATAGTATGCATTTAAAATTCATAACAAACAGTGGAACTCGTCTTTAAGTACAATACAATATTTTTCCTCTCTCCTAAGTATTCTAAGATTGTACGATTGACATTTATTTAATTATAATTCTTCAGATGGTCTCGTTTTGGGTTGATACATAGAAAACAAACTTCAGACGCAATCCGGCTCTTAACTTTTAGACTTAACATATATAAATATATATTGCTAAGCTCTGCCTAACAATTATAATTTAAGTAGAATTCAGCGTTGCTTTTGCCTTGTGTTCTTTCAATATATGCACGAATTGTTGAAAGTACGATCTATCTTTATCTTTATCCACAAATTAAAATTATGCATTTCTGGAAATACAAATATAGACTTTGAATGACATTTTTAGAAAAATAATCAATTGAGTATGAGTTTTGGTCTTTCTAAAGCAATTACTACTTGAGCTGGAGCACGCGTAGTACAATATAATACAATCAATTTCTTTATTTAAATATATGCAGAGTTCAATATGTTTGAGCACATTTATGTGTACGTAAATATAAGTGTCAGGTGGTGTCTGAAGCCTTAGTTTAAAAATTTCGTTTGATATTTAGTTTTTTTTTTTTTTTTTTTTTTTTTTATTCGTATTGTCATATTCAAGAGGTTAAGAATTTGTATCTTGTGTTAACATTGATCAAGGTACATTTACAAATCTGCATTTAGCTATTGAATTTGAATAGTTTCTACAGTGTTTTTAATAGACATGCACATAAAAGCCTTTTCGCTAGCTACAGTCATTTATGTATATGTATATGTATTTATATTTATGGCTTACACAAACTGCATACATATGTATGGGTATGTGAGAGTAGCTTGAAATCTTTCTGGCCGTAAAAAATAAATAGCTTAATAAATTACTATAATTAAATCATTTAAATCAAACAAGTAATTTTATACTAAATTAAAATTAATCTTAAAAATTAAAAGTAAATTTCATTGTCATTAAAAATTACAATATATATTTAGATATATGTGTATATACTGCAGCCAGTATAAACGAGAGTAGTTAGGTGTATATGTATGTATATTTGAATACAGATACATACACATATACACTCTCGTATATGAGAATCAACAGTTAACCAACCATAGTTTAAGAGCTTACAATTGCTGACTATACTCTAGAAAAGCACATTGACATAGAGACGATATGACTGGGAGTCCGAGATTTCCCTATTCGAGAGGTCTACAGCAGGCTGCAGGCATTGGAGTGCATGCGATGCGAGTGTCTGCCGTTGCCATGGCCTCCGAATCCGCTGCAGCACTGGTGAGTAATGGGACCCGATCTGCGTGCGTGCTGGAAACTCTGGCTATTGCTCATCTTCGGCTCGTGCAGCGTGTGATGGCAGCTGGGCGCATGACTATGTCTGCAAAGATTTGCATGAGATTTGCTAAGATGTTGCTGTTGCTGCACACGTCACATGTCAGAAAGTGGCTTACCCATGGTTACAAATGCTCGAGTCGGATATGGAGCTCGGCATTATGCGACCCATTGACTGTGCTGGTGGGGGTGGCAGAAATAGTGGACAGCCGCCTGCAGCCGGGTCATCGCCACCGCCGTCGTGTCCAAAAATGGCAAGACGCACGTTGGCCGCTTTGGCCACCGACTGTGATTCCACTTCCTGCGCTTCCTCAATCATCTTGTCCAGCTTCTCCATGGCCTTTGTCTGCTTGGCAGCGAGGAAAGCTTTCCGCGCTGCCTTGGACATGGAATGGGGTCTAAAACAAAAATGTATTTCGATTAATTAGCTCAACTCAAGTTTTGGCTAGATCTCACCTGGCTGGCGCAGAACTGGAACGATGTGGTGGAGGTGAATGCAGAGAGATCGATGACATGGAATCCTTACTACCTGGTCGGCTGTTGCTGCTGCTCGCTTGCACTGCGGCTGGCGCTGTGCCCATTCCGTTCGGCGGCGACGTGCTGCGGCGCATAGGACAAACTTTTGGAATCGGAGCTCCTTCAGGTGGAGCCCCTGAAGCCACACAGGCATCCTTGGCTGTCGTCGCAATAGGCACGTTGATTGCCTCCAGGGTGGTGCTGGTGGAAAACGTGATTTTTCTGATTAGAGTGAAGTCGGTGTCGTTCTACATCAAGTAGTCCCACTTACTTCAACTTGGTAGCCTTGTCCCGCTCCAGAGATGCGTTGGATGTGGAGGGCTTTATGCTCGCACTGCTGCATGTGGCCGATTCACGTGCCGGCGCAGTTGAGGGAGGCGTCAGTTGATCCATGGCGGCCAGCTCCTCGGGCGTAAACTTGTCCGGGTGACTGGGACGTGGCTTGGGCGGGGCACTGCCGATGCGGAAGGGTGGCGTGGGACTACTGAAGCCACATGGCGACTCACAGTTATTGTTGCTGTTGCCGGTGAGTGGGCCTCGGGAGCTCTGCAAGTCCTCGAGAAACTCCTCGGTGTCCAGTATAAGCGAGCCGAAGATGTCGCTGGGCGAGCGCATGAAAACGTGACCAGTGGAATTGGAACGGGATTCGCGGCGCTTATTCTGCTCTGGATAACAGGCGCTTGTCCGCACTGGTGAGTTGGCGATGCTTCTCCTGGCCACGTCCTTGAAAGTAACCGGCGAGTAGATGCGACTGCTCCGCTCATCAGCTGCAGACGTTCCGGTGGCTCCAGCATGATGAGTCAGAGCCGAGGCAGCCACCAAGGCACCGCTTGCTCCCAGCACCACGTTCGACATAGCCGCCGGCGGGGCCTCGGCTGTCTGCGCTGCATTGGGTGTATGTGGCTTGGACGCTGGCAGAATGGCCTTGGGTATGGGTGTAAGCGGCGGTGCCGCGGACATGGGATTCAACTGCAGTCCAGAGGTGAGCTGCAGCGGCAGGCGATTCTCTCGGTCCTCCAGCCAGTAGGTCTTCATGGTGCCCTTGCCCTTGACATCGATTTCGCCGCGCTCGAGTATTTTGTAGCTGGGTCCGATCAGCACCTTTGTAGACTCCGATATGTGCACCTTCATGGCGATGCTGGTGGACTCCATTCGGGAGGCGGTATTAACGCTGTCGCCGAACAGGCAATATCGCGGCATTTTCAGGCCCACAATGCCGGCGACAACGGCGCCCGAATGAACGCCCACGCCTACTCCGCACGAACAAGAGAAACGTGTGAGATATAACGAAGCTAGGGACTCTTATAGAAGATAAAATGGTCTTACGAATTCTCAAGTGCTGTCCCGTCGAAGGGTCCTTCAGATCGGTTATGGCATCGACCATATCCAGCGCCATATCACAGACTCTCTCGGCATGATTCGCATCCTTGTCGGGTGCTCCAGCCACTACCATGTACGCATCACCAATTGTTTCCACTTTGTAGACCGAATTGCGCTCTGTGAGCGTGTCGAAGATTGAGTACATGGCATTCAGCATCGATACCACTTCCATGGGAGTAATGCGACTGCAAATCTCCGTAAACGTGACTATGTCCGAGAATAATATAGACACACTGTCGAACATCTGCAGTTGGATTGATATTCATATAACTTTCACTTGATCTGCATCCCCGAGAGGAATCTTGAAGCAATCTCACCTCACAGGTATCTATGGGATTCTCGCCGCGTCTCAAACGATCCGCCACCTGCTTGGGTATCATTTGATATAGGAGCTCATCGGTGCGTCGCATTTCCTCGTCCAGCTTACGCATAGACTCCTCCAGTTTCTTGGACTTTTGCTGCTCCTGGTCCAAGGCCAATTTCAGTTCCACGGACTGTTGTGTGCCCGCCAGCATGAGATCTCTGCTGAAGTCGTGCATGGACAGATCGTTGATGTAGAGACCAGTTGTGATCAGAGACGTCAGATCTGGCATCACTGGAGTGCCGAGGAACATTATCATTCTCCAATTTTCCATATAAACCATTTGACCTGCAAGATTCTATGTGTGTTAGTCAGTGCTTATAGAACATTTGAAGTAAACTGAAGGTTAGATATAATGCCCTAAAACCGTTGAAAATGGGACATCAGGCTAAAATAGTTGCTGAATGTATATATTATTGATCAGGATGTCGAGCGAGGTCGATTTTTGTCTTTCTGTCCATCCGTCTGTTCCTTTGTCAGTTGAAAATATATCCATATATGTGAACAAGTTTTAATTTGGTCTAGGCGGGCCAATTTTTTATCGAACAAATAGATCATATCCTCTAAATTTCTTTAAAATCCATAAACTAAACAAGTAAGACCGTTGCAGTCGGGCGTTACCGACTGCGGAATACTCATTCACATCCCATCAGCAATTTAGTAGCTAAGTATTGTATAATATTCTGCTTTTCCCGATTTGCCACGCTCCTACTGGGCGTAGACACCTCATTTTTGGTCAGTTCTTAGAAAGAGCTAACGGTACCCTAACTGCATAATTTGAATGCTTATGCTCAAAAAATGTAAATATTACAGGGTATGTTTTGATATGCCACGCCTCTAAAGAGGCGTAAAAATTTTTTTGGGGGCATCGATAGAGGAAGTGGCATGGCAAATCGGAAAATGCATTTTTCGATTTGCCACGCCCTTAGTGGGCGGATCGGGAAAATTTTAAGACTTTATAAATCGGAGATATACCCAAGTATGAGTTCCAAATTTTAAGTCTCTGCTTCAATAGCGCCGAAAAAGTTGCGTTTATATGGACAGACAGACAAGACGGACAGACGGACATTGCACAAAACCAATATACTAATTCACTTTTGTGATTCACTTTGATAGATGGTGCTCTGGGATATAAAAGTATTGATAGAGGGGTTCAAAATTCGCTGATGATGATTGTTGTATATATCTTTTCTTAAGCCAAATATGTAATTTGATTATGAACTTAAAACTTTTTTCCAAAATATTTGTAATATTTCCTATTCTCGCTATGATGAAATCATTAATGCGTTAATTTAAAAACTACTCTAAACTGAGTTACCTTTCAGTCGCAGAGATTTCTCCGGCTCGCTGCCATCATCATGCAGCAGCAGATCCTCATTTTGGGCATCCAAACGCTCCGTAACTGGATCCACGGTAACCAGCTCGAATATGTTGTTCGTGCGATTGAGTATCTAATGGGGGATAGTAGAGGAGAATTTAGGCAGAGCAAGCAGAGACAGGGGACTAGCAAAGCACATACGGTTTGAAATTTGAATGCAATTAGCGGGCGTACCAGGTCGAACCAGGCTGTAATCTTCTTGCCTAGCAGCTCGGGCAGTATAACCATCAAAGAGTTGCCAATGCTGCGCACCACCATGTCGGCGCTGCAGGCAGGGATTAGAGTTAGTTGTTGCTAAAGCCCTTTGGAGACTTGTGTAATATATTCAGACAGCTCTGCTTACCCAAACACGATGCAGAACGGGAATATCTCGAAGAGCACGTGCGCACTGATGGGTAAGTGCTTCTCCTCGCGGGTCATGGCCAGGGAGGCGAGGGTGAATGCGCGATTATCGAACGTCAGCTGAAAGGTCACGTGCACCGTATCAAACAGAATCTCCTCACGGACCAGCTCAATGTGCATCTCCTTGTGGTAGAAGTAGCGCGCCACCTCACGTATCTGCCCCATCGTATAGTAGACAAAGCCCCGCCTCTTGGATCTGTAGTGGAGTGTGAGTCCCTGCTTGGTCTCGTTCTCGCAAATGAAACTGGGCGCACGCATGCGTGGGTATGAGAACTTCAGATACTCATGCAGATTGTCCAGACCGTTGAGAAAGTCACGCATGTGCCGCCCCAGCACAGACAGCACTCGATCGTATCCATATTGACCCACAAAGCCAACAAAGTAGACGCCCAAACGGTCCATAAACTCGCGCTCTGATACTCCCAGAACCTAAGCAACATATGAAATATGCAAAGGTAGATAGTTTCATAAATTGTTATTTAAAATTTGTGTAAATAAATATTTTTTGTTCACTTTTTTCTGTTTTTTGTTTATCAATTAATTTGTTTTTTTTTTTCGAAATTTTTTGCTCACCGTTTGCGCTTTCTTGGCCAGTTTTTGCAGCAGATTCTCGGGGTACACCTGATGGACACTGAACGAAGGCGCATCGATGCCCGCCTGTCGTCTGATGTCCTCCCATTTCTCCTCGCCGTACACAGATTTGATGTACTCGGAGAGGTTCTCCAGCAGTAAGCCATACATGTTAGCGGAGATTCGATTTAATTGGCCCTATTTGGTTTTCAGCTCAGTTAGCGTCTGGCATTTTTAAAGAATTACAGTATTTATGACCTGTGAATAAATGGATCGGTAACTAATTAACTTTAAATAAGGATACAAAAATTAAATTATATTTGGCCTTTACTCGTCTCAAATTGGACTGCACTTATCTTCGATGAATATGAAATGTGACTTATCTTTTAATTTTATTGTCCACATTATCTCTTTAAATAGATATAGATTCGACTCTTGCCTTTCGAAATTATAAGCTAAGCTCCTTAAAATCCAAGCTTGTTTACATTTTTGTTCGGTTCATGGCAACAAACTCGAATTGATTTAGCACATTTCTCACATTAAGTATACGCCCCGTGGTGCTTTTCAGTCAAATTGCATTAGAATTTGTGGTCAGCACCGGGTGGCTTCGGTTTTCTGGGATAACTGTGTATATTGTGGGCAAATCCCCGGAGGCAAGCGACCAACCAATGTTGACATTTTCGCAATGCGCCAGACATTTGGCGCCTCATAATTTATGCCAGCCGCAAAGCAAAATCCGATGATTTTTTTTGTTTAATGTTGCCTCTCGGGAAATATGTCAATAGATTTGCTCATCTTTTGATGCGAGGATTTCATCAACTTGTGGTTTAAATCAACAATTGGGCGGCCAAGTGATAGAAAATTTGTGGCTACTGTTGACTTTTCATTTGGCATGGCACGTTTTCAAGATTCGCTTAGTCACGATTCTTGAGGAGACAGCTAAGAAAATGAGCATGCCAATACCTTAGCTTAACCACATCTCAATGATGGATAATTTATGAGTTTCTCAACTTCAAGCAATCGATATGAACTCTAATTATGGGTTCTATTCACAAATGTGAAATGGGTCTATTGGTTTCAAGCAATGTCAGCCTTGCTGTCTGTCCGTCTGTCAGTCAGTCCGTATGAACGACAACTATTTGATTGGTTTTGGAGCTGGGGATTTACAATTTAAAATATATCCCTGTTCGATAATGTTAAGATTCGCCAACAAGTCGACAGCTACTATATATTTATATATTTTAACACTCTAGACTTTTTAATAGTCTAGAGTGTTAAAGTATATAATGAATACTCGTGTTTACCAATGGCAAATTGGGAAGATCTGTATCTTGTACAGAATTTTATCGAAATGTAATTGAAGTTAACATTAACATAACATAGACATAGTAATCTGGCAACCCCATACAATGAGTGTACTTGACATTTCACTCTCACAGCTTTCATTCCCTATTAATGTGATAACGGAATCACATCGCGTTTACTTTCATTGGAACTACATCGCCAATTAACCCAGCAACATTCAGCACTTTTACAGATACTCTAAATTGTATTAATGTTGACCTTATTCATATTCATATTTGTATGCCTCCTATATATGTCGATATAAACAGAGTCCTTTCGATATAAAGTTGGTCGTCTGAGTGAGTGGCATGCAATATATAGAGTGTAAATTCAAATGGTCTTGATTTCCATTTGTATGCAAGCCGAACAAGAGGTAAAAGCAATTTGATTTGTTCCTCTTCCTCTTCCCGCTCCCCGTCGCTGAATTGTGAAATGCATCAACAAATTATCTAGTAAATTGATTTGTCAATAGGAGAGTGCATAAAATAATAAAATTTGCGGCTGGCAGCAAATACAATTAGATGCACGAGCAGCCAGGCGGAACAACCTGAGTGAGCATATTCAATTATAACGCATACGCAGCGTGCGCCGATAGATAGAGTTTGTCTCGCAATGGCTGGAATGCTTCTGTGGACGTCAGCCATTCAAGTTAATTTGGACTTACGTCCGGCAGAGCATGCCTTACGGCGAGGGCGGTCGGCCGGCCTTTATTGCCAACGTAAGTGGCTGTTAATTGAGCCAAGTCAATTTATGTGTACACAGCCAACAATTGAGTGTAAATGCGCAGGACAATTGCTATTTATATAGTGCGGCATGGTTTGCTGGCACATTCGTTGGCAATCTGAGAAGTGGCTCGCCTCGAATCAACGCTAATTCAATTGCATTCAAAGGCACCTGCCGCTGCAGCTAACTAGGGCCGAGTAATTGGCCAGATATTCAAGCCAACATTGCCTTGAAGACGCCTCAGCGCAAACTTGCATAATAAACAGCTGCGACAGCCAGCCGGACGGACACCAGGGTGACATTCGTTAGCATTACTGCTGCAGCCGAGCCAGCATATGTTCGTGTCAATTGAATGTCATATGCGCTCAGCATGAGCTGCTGTAAATTGAGTTATGCAAGCGAGACTCGAGAGTCGAGACTCGAGGCTGCACTCGCCAACAGTCTGCTTCAAATTAGGAAGAGGCTGCGAAGTACTTGCTGGCATAGCCGATGAGACCAGTAGTTTCTCTGGGAAACATCACACTGAAGGTGAATTCTGTAAATAATTTCGACGGAATGCCACGAAAGTAGCGCAAAGAACATTCTCAATTACCGCTTCGCACATCCTCAGAGACTGCGTGGTTACATCAAACACGAATTGCCGTTGCACGGCTTTAATAAGACGACAGACAACTCACGGGGCGAGTACTGCAAGAGCGTATAGTAGCGGAGAATACAAATAGGAAATAAAATCAGACATTACTCTCACTTTGCATGGCTTTATTCGCGCTTTACTGCCATTTGCTTTGTCATAAACATATTTCATTGTATGCTTTATTATTATCCCAAACATACATAAATTTATCTTTCGGCGCAGCGCATAAAATTGCCAACCTAAAGCTAAAGCCAAAACAAAAAACAAAAAGTAAAACAAACGAAAATAATAAATTTGTGGAAAATCAGGAATTTGCATTTCGCTCGCTCGTTTTACTTCACTGCATTTAATGGAAATTGTGTTTCAGAAAAAGTGAAATTTATTACCATATAAATGCAATCATATTGATTTGCTTTGAACTTAACGCTGATACTCCTTTACGACGTCAAAGGAGTATATTGGTTTTGTGCCGAGTATACAACGTCGATAAAACAGAGAGACAACTGAATAATTGAATTGAGTGAATTTGTATTCCAGGTATACGTCAACCATGCCTGATATCATATTTAGATATTTCCATATGATTTTCTAAATAATTATAATTCATCTCGTTTCATTGTTATTTAGAATATAGTTCTTCATTTTATGATGATTTAATCTGTTTGTTTGGTTTTTTTTGTGGTGCGCGATTTAATCTAAAGTCTTGGGTTTAAAAACACATTTCCGTATATGTATATTACAGCAAGATCAAAGAGCATTTCTGGTGCGCTAAAAATGATATCGTTCATTTGTTTCATATTTACTGAAAACGTTCTCTACCGATCAAGCTATAGCTATTTAATCATGTCCACTAGGCTGTGGGCTATACAAAGAATTTACATATGTATATCTTTCAGGATTTCCAAATTTGAATCACTAAGGTCAAGGCTAAGTTCCTCTTCCTATATGTAAATCAACAACTCAGATGATTCATCTGCCTCTTGAGCGAGCATTATGAAGTCCGTTATGCGTGAGATTGCAACGATCTTACTTGCTTGCCTATTATTTTTGTCAATTGATCTCAGAGGTAGAATATAATTAAATAGCTCATACGATTTCAGCTAAACGAAAACATAATCCCTTGACGTCAGCTGTATAGAAGAGAGGGAAAAGATATTTTTAGTACCTTCCTGTTCTGTGTTTTTTCTTTCGCTCATATGTATTTGGGAAACATTATTAAAAAAGCTGGCCTTAAGGCAAATAAATCTTTTCGATATATAGAAAACGCAGCTATTTTTAAAATACAATGATGTGCGAACCAAGGCAAATTTTAGAAACAACAAAATCACACATTTAGACATGAAACTAGCAGAAATTAGACAAAATTGTCAACACAACATTGTGAGAAATATAAATTAAACAACAAACAACAATCATAGCAATAACTTTCGATTTCAATTCAGGCGTGGCTCGTTCACCTCCTCACTTTCTCTAAGCCATTTGGCATTGGACATTTCGAAGGCCCTCGAAACACTTGTGCCAAACGCCTCAAAACATTGTCCAAAATGCTGTCATACGATTCAGTTCTTCGGTTTAAATATTATTTATTTATTTTTTTATTACATTTTCGTTGTCTTGTTTTTATTGGCCAATTACGCCGCGGCATTTATTTATGAATGGAATACTCGACGGACATGCAAATATCTCGACAGATCTGCCCATTTGTTTATATTTTAGGTATATGATTGCGTTTTACATTTTGCGCGTTTCAAATGCCAAAATAATAAACAGGATGTGACTCTCTGCTCGGGTATGTGACGTCAGCACCCTTCTTCTGGATGTTCTGATCAAATGCTATCCGAGGAAGTGCTCGACCGTGAGAGGAAGCACAGTGGGTGGTACATATATGTACCACTTATTGAGAATGGATAGGAAACTCAGAATAAGAATAGCTGTTGTTCTTAGGGAGGGAAAGGGCTGAGCGAGGGCTGCATTGTATATAAAAGCTTTCCGGGTATATCTCCGAAGAAGGTCGATAATTATCTAGCTGAAAAACTTGATTGATGTTTAGGAATTTAACAAGGCCAAGGGGATTCTGGGGGTAGCATCTAAAAGCAATAAAAATACTTGCATAATATAAATCACTAACGGTCATAGATCTTAAATAACGGTCTTTGGTGTTCGCAAAGAAGTATCTTTCACTCACGCTTTGAATAAACTCAGAGAGCAATCGATTAGGTCGGTTCTACAACGAGCTCGGATAGAAGCCTTTTTTGAGTTCTTTCCGGACCTTTGATTGAAAATATGAATTATGAAATTTTAGGTATGTATGCGATAGCTCACGCAACTGAGGGCAACTGAATTTGAGAATAAACAATAAAACGGTTAACAGTAGTTTGAAAGCTATGCTAAAGACTCAATCTAGACATTCCACAGAGCTTGCATTAAAAATCCTGTGATCGCTTTGTTAAGGATACCTAAAGTAGTCCAGATACGAAACCTAAACCTTTAGTCCGAAAACTGTAGAATTTAGAGTTACATATATTTTTATTATTGATTATATATTTGTATAAATATATATTTTTAGTGAAGGTTAATCTACACAAGTATATAGTCTAAATTGTTAGTTTATAGCTTTATGTTATGAGATTAATAATATGGACAGACGGAGATAACGAACGAATGCAATAACCATAAAAAATTATTAACTAAATGGAAGTATCTATGAAATAATTAAAACTTAACATGAATTCAAAAAGTAATTCTAATTCTATTAAAAAAAAAGAAAAACATATATGCATATATATAACATATATTTTTTAGATTTTATGTTTCAGAAAAATGATTTAATAACATGAATTCTTGCTTGTCAAGCAAGTTTATTTAAATTAATAATCATATCATTCATATTTTTATTTATGAAGTATAAAAAATGTGAAGTATTCATAAATAAAATTGTATAAAACGAAAGTATAAACTATAGCTTATGTCTTTGTTAAAAAAAAAAATGATCATTTGCAACTTCATCATAATGTTTGGTAATGATAATAATAATTATAAGTAATAGTACAACCTAGTATGAGTTGTCTTTTCTTTAGAGACACGTGCCTATCGCAAATCCCAACTAATTAAACCAGACAAACTGCGACTGTCAGCAACAGTGTTTCAAAGCCCATAAAATGTTCCCATTTGACTGACAACAACAAAATAAACAAACAAACAAACAGAAATGACTTTTGCAATAAATGAAAAACTAAAACAAGCATCAAAGTATTCTTAAAAGACTGCGATGTGATCCACTGATGCGCACTTGCTGCCAGCTTTTTGCGGCTTGTTATCATCAATCATGTCAAATTATGACCACATATTCCACAGACTGCAAAAGTGCATATCAAGTTGGACTTTACAAGGCTGACCTCAATGTCCTTGACCATCGCCATGTAACGCAGCAGATGGATGTGCAAATTTGTCATGGCCATTGACAGTGAGTGATGACGTGCTATGAGGTGCAAATTGTTTTGCAGATTTTGACAGGCCTCAGATAGAAAGAGTTTAATATAATTTAATCAACTCGTCGCAATCTGAGTTTGATTTAATATGGGGCTAAAGCTTAAAGAGTTTGGTAAGAGAATAGAAATAGTTTGATATAACTAAATCAACTCGTTGCAGACTGAATTTGGCAATAGCTGAAAGAGTTTTGCTTCAAGGTGTCCGCTGGATAAAGCTTTTATTTATTTTTATTTTTCTAGTTTCCGAAAAAAACTCACATCATACGCAGAACGGTGGCAAAAACATTTTAATGAATTTATAAACAATCGAAATGTCTGAAAGGCAAATACATTATAGAAGCCAGACCAACACCTAGTTGGCAAATAAATATCTGCTGTATACATAGCTGACTTATGTGCAGAGCTGTACACACGCACACACATTTGTGTGTATGTATATGAATTCATGCATGACTGTAATTATGAGGCCAACAATTAATTTTCAAGTTCATTTGCGTGGGTAATGCCGAGAGATGTACCAAGACCCAGCAGGGCATATACATAGTACATATGAAAATGCTGATATTCACAGAGCGAGCGAGATAGAGAGAGGGAGCGAGAGAGTGGTAGATGTGTATATATATGATCCGAGAGTATGTACATGCACATATTTATTTTTATCATTCTTGAGTAAATGTATTTGAAAATTTTTGCGCTTTGAAGGTGGCTGCTATATGTTAAGGTTAAATATACATAACATATAGGCTATAGGGGCTATACGGTATCGAGAGCTTTTCAGTTTCGTTTAAATTTATATATTTTTGTGTTCTCCACACAAACGAGAAATATTCTTGGTTAACTTAACATAATGGCATGACTCAAACATTGATTCGCTTTTGGCCCCCTCCTTTTGTTTTCTAGACAAGTTCGCGTAATGTGGAAAATTGCTCATACGCGTTGACATTGTGAGTTTTCAGTCTCGTTTCGTTCCATTTCGCTCGACACTCAAACAGCAGTGCACAATAATTTAAGCTGTTCAAATAGAGAATTAATGCTTTTTCTCATTATATATACAAATACAAATTCAAATATACAAATTACTGCAGATATTTAATTAGAATAAATCTATTATAAATATGGCTGTCTGTTAAGCTGACAGTGTGGCATTTGGTCAATAGTTTATGGGAAATTATTTGGCAACAGCTAAATTACAGCTGTGATGCACTTCAAGAACGAGAGTGTGCGAGCGGGAGAGATCTATTCGTATTAGGCGAAGAGTGAGAGTGAGAGCGACAGCGCACAAAGAAATTATCTTAATAATTGACCTCATTTCCTAATAATTGCCTCATATATATGTAGATTATTTATGGTATATTTTTGTGGGCGCAGCGTGAAATTCTTAGTTGGCAAATAATTAGGATTTTTTTTATAAATAATTTATTCGGCTGTCTTAAAGTTAAGCTGGGTTAAGTCCAAGAGGTTACAAGTTGGTGGCAAAAAGAGCTAAATCCATCTTGGCTAATGGCTTTGGTGTGAGGTTTCTCTGTTGTGGGCAGAGCCAATTGGGAATTATAAGCGGTAGCTCGTGCTAAACACCTCAGGGAATAGCGGCTTGTGTAACTGATGTGCTTTCATCTAAGCCCTGAAACGTATATTAAAGCTTTGCCCTGAAGCGAACTGCCTGAGTCAGCCATTCAATTGATGGTACTCGACCTAAAATGGGAGAAATATCTACAGATGACTTTAATAATTACGGGGTCAAAGCCTCAAACAGTGAACGTATCGGGTCTGATGTATTTTACCCAGCAACTTTTGCTATCAATAATATTTTACAATTTTTCCCCCAACTAAAATTTGTTTTGCATTTTGCGACCATCCTTAACCCTTTCTCCATAACAATATTCTCATTTATCTGATCCTCCGAGGCATCAATCTTTGACAGCTCAGCATAATTTATAATTTCCACATTGGAGTTCATTCCGCATAGATATCTGTAGTTTTTTCATCTCAAACAGACATAGATCTGTATACCACATTTAACTATGCTAAATACAGCATCCAATACCAAAAAAATCGTTCATATTATACCAAAAATTCAATACTTATATACTCGAATAGTTATCTATCTAAAGTATTGTGTTAATGTATTTTTAAGATCTTGCTTAAATACCAGAAATATAAGAATTTTAAATGGCGATGAATTATATAGTAGATAATCGCAAATAGAAGTATACAAATTATACAATTTGTTTGTAATTAGAAAAAAGACATTAGCTAAAAGCCATTCAGTTTTGGTTTGTAGGAAAATTTGGCCATGCAGTCACATTCGAGAATTTCTATTCTATTCTCTTATAGAAGTGATATAGATGGCCATTTAGGGGCATTTAAGTGAAAGCCATTTGCACTTGGCATTTAGATGAACATCAAAGTAATTAAACTACTTTTAGTTTCGAATTGGCTCTGTCTTTTGCTTTTCTTCTGGCATTTTCAAAAATGAAACCAAATTGTTGCGCTTGGCCAATTCGAATGTGTGCCAGAAAGTAAAAGTTGAAACGATTTTTAATACGAAACTTTTAATGGGTGCAATTTACAATTCGATTTGCCAATTGAGCTCTTTGCCAGGTATTTCCCAAACGTTTTTCCTCTCTTCTTATTGTTCAATTATTTTTATTTTTTATTTTTTTGCCTTAGGTGTTCTTGCCCACAAAGTCAAGATCAAGTCCACAAGTTGTGCCAGAACCATTTGTATATTTATTTATTTAAGGGAAAAACCAGATCTTCTGCCTTACATAACGTAAACAAACAGGTGCAAAGTCCATTGCAGTTGCAACCGCAGTCTTAAAACATGGAAATCACGCAAATTGAATTTTACTTACTATATTTTCTATATAAAGAACTAAATTGGAAACTGGGCATTAAGTTACGACCATAGTATTAACTGTTAACTGGAAGTTCAAACAGGCTACTATACACAAAAATATTTTTTTAGTCAGATTGGTTAAGATATTTTTTTGTCTTTAGATCGAATGTCACCTACGCCCACATTCGACTTGCTGTAGATGTTTTTCCTGTTTGTGTTTTCAGCGAATCTGCTTTGTTTATTCTGAATTGTGGACTTTTAGTTTACGCACGGGGCAATTTATTTATTTATTGACCACATGGAGCCTTCGGTTTGGCATTCAATTTCCAATTTCAATTAGCATGTACAGGTATTTCGCTGTATCCGCAAAATGCCCTCATGTAAAAATACATGAAAATGCTGAAATAAACATTAAATTAAATTGCAATAAACATCGTATGCAAAGGTAGTTAGAAAAGTTCCCGAAAAAGAAAATTTAAGATAGAGGATTAGGAAAAATTACTTTTTCCTATAATAGAAATTGATTAGAGCGTTAGGATTATTTATTGTATTTTATACACATATGTATATACACGTATATGTTTATCGAGTATCTTTAGAAATTGCCATAGTATATAGACTTCCCTCATAATTCACATCTGCTTAGTCTAACTCAGTTAATGAAAAGAAGAGCTTTCCTTTTGTTTATTTTGCATATATTTGCACAATTTTAATGAATTTACTATGCAATCTTTACATTAACTTAACACACCTCCTATCCTCTAAAGGGAATGGAATTGTTGTATTTAAGCAAAAATACATTAAACAAACAGTTTAATAGTATATATACTTAAGTGCTGCTAGCTAAATCGCAACTCTAATTGAAAATGAATCAAAACCAAGTTCAATGCTCAGTTCAATATCACAATTGACGTAGTTTCCTATGGATAATGTTTGTTCTGAATGATTTAAGAGCGTAAATATGAATGGGACCAAGTATGTAGAAAATTGTACAAAAATACGAAAATATATATGTATGTTAGAGTCGCACAAAGAGCAGATATTACGATATGAAATGTGGTTTTTGGTCTCTGGGTCTCTGGGTGTGTGTGTGTTTGTGTGTGTGTATGAATTAATATGGGCCTTTCTTTTTGTGAGCACCGCCGTCATCGTCTTTGAATCCACAACAATGAGTGGGCGCTGCCGCCCTCGACTACCCACCGAGATATCGGCTGAAAGCTATAGCCGAACTGGCTGAGCTTTTCGCCACACATACGCATACGCACACACACTTGTACACTCAGACACACACACGCATGCATACTCGGTCGTCGAGGTTTGGACATAGATATATAGAGATCGGCTACCTACGCCGTAAAGGAATATCGTGCTTTTTTGTGAAACAAATGGCAAATGGTGAAACGAGTAAAATTGGTGAGGCGAATTTCGAATGGTTTGCAGTTTGAAAAAATTCTTCGTTGAGGATAGATCGCTATTTTTTAGGAGTAAAGCAAATTGTAAGCCACATCAAAAATAATCAACTCTAATAGAATATGAGCAAACGAATGCATAATTATAAATGCATATCAGTTTAAATAAAAAATGGAAAATGGAACAATTACACTACTACAGAACAATTATTGTGTCGAGCAATCAACAAAGTGTATATATTTTCGAATTGAAATCGTGATCTGCCCGCCCTCATTAAACTGGTTCCATTTCAAAATGGAATTATGACAAAATATGACAATGCCAATGTCTGATTATATAAGAGCTAAAGACATTTGATACCAAGTGAACATTAATGAAGTTGATTGCTAATTAGCAAAGCAAGTGTGAAGTGTCAAATCTGATCCGAATCTAAATGTTAAACATAATTTTCAAATAGAATTTAAACTTTAATTTATAATCATAAGAATTATAAAATGAAGGCACATAATGTTTTGAATCTGGCATAACTACCGAAAACGATTTTTTTGAAAGAATAATCAAATTCGATATAATTGAATTGAGAATTTTGGCGTCGTATGCTCTGTCAGGAAAAATTCAACTCAAGGACATTTATAAATAACGCAAATTTAGCTGCAGCTCGCGCCGATCTTCATCACACTCACACTCACGCATACACACACACACACTACACACGAATATATAGTCATGTATATAGAATTTTGCTAGTCAAGTATGTATGTATTTATAGAGAGTGTGAGAAATAAATGTATATAGATTTTATGATATGTATATACATACAAGCGCATATATGTATAATGCTGACGATATTATTTGAGAAATACATTTATTTTTAGTGATTGATCTTGTTGTGAATAGATAAATTTGAGTAAATATATACACAAGTAGACAACTATTTTATAAAATTTTGTTGAATACTTTGCTCTGCCGTTAAGTGGCACACAGTCTGTTTATTTTCGAACTGAGCAAAAGCGCCGAGTCAGCCAAGATTTGTACATCAGCCACCTCTAGGAGGAAAACAACTCTCTCGTGCGTGTTGACATTTGAACGATCGACTACAGAGCCAAAACGTGCGATACAAAATTCAGATTCGTAAATTTGGGCGTTGACAGAAAAGAAACAAAGCCAAAACCAACACCAAAAAAATAAAGAAAAACTGTTTAAAACTGGTGCAAAGTGCAAGCAACAACAAAAATACAAATTACAAAAAATAAACAATAGATAAAAGAAATTGTTAATAAAGTTGATAAACTTTTTGATATTGCAGCGAACGAGTTCAACGAATATTTCTTGTGCTTAACAGACACAAAACAAATCGATCAAAATGTTCAAAAACCATTTGGAAATGATTGGGCGCAATGAGAGCCCCAGCAAGAAGGCCAAATTCTGGCAATCCTACATCAGATCCCTGAAGGGTAAGTGTACTGAAAGATATATGCTCAAAACTATCAGTAGTATCTCTGGCAGCTAGCATCTATTGTATTGTATTTTGTGAGAAGCAGCCTATGAAAAGTATTATAGAACTGGTAGCTACATAAATAGCTCAGCAGCATATAGAATGTTGGTCTATTTTTTGGCAGGTGTCACTTTTAAAAGCTACACTCACAGTCCCATAAATGTGAAGAGCTTTTTTTCGAAATTATATTTAAAATATATGTATCTCTTTTATATATGCATATTGAAAATATTTTAACTATGTGCTCATGAGCCAAACAAAGCGAGAAAATGCGGCTGTTGCGCCAAGGCAAAATAACTAGGCGCTCATATTGGGAATACAAAAGAATGAAATGAAAAACGAAAAGAAAAAAATAAATTCAATATACGAAACACATAAATGAAATCAATTTTTTGGCAATGAGCCAAATGGCTGAAATAGCGCAAAAATTCAGAAAAGCCTTATGAAGTAAGGCGAATAATAGTAGTGTATATAGAAATGTGCATTAATATTTGATTCGTTTCCAAACACTCGATAGGCTCCGAGGATATTCGTGCCCATGAAGCGCCAAGAGCTTCTCGCCCATACAGCTCGTACCTGGATTCGCCCACATACAGGAGCATCTACGATGAGCCCGCAACGGCCAACGAGCGCGTTCAGTCATCTGGCTACAGATACTTGCCAGTGAGCCGCGACACCTACGGCTACTCGCCACGTGCCATCTACGATCATCATTACAGCAGAACAAGTAAGTTGGCCCGTTGAATGAGCCGTTACTCTATGTACTACTACTTTTCCTACAGCAACAGCGACAGTAACCCGCACAACTCTTTTGCCTATGAGCTTTGATTGATTACTTTACTTTACTTTCATTCATGGCTCAATCATGCCATCAATCAGTGCATATCGCAGACATCTATCCTGAAGACTGAATTGCTAACTGCTAGTTAATTCAAGGATCAGCCTCTTCATAAATCCATCAATCCATCAACCAATCACAATTATTAATAGTGTGGAGAAAAGTATTTGACTAAGTTCTAGTCTAACTATCAATATATTATTTACTGATTTTGCATTCTGCAAATCCATTCTGCATTTGCATTCGCCCTGCAGCACACCTTGAATCGCTGACGGTATGCTAAAATTACGCTACATTTTTCTGTATGATTTCATAATTATATAAATAATAAAAGAGATGAAAATGAAAGAACCGCCGCACAGCCAAAATAGAATTACGTCAATGATTTTTAGTATTTAATTCTTTTTCTCTTTTCTTTTTGGCAAAGGCCCACAAAAGTTGTAGGCAAAATATACACATGTTCATAAGCTTTCTGCTGGTAAACACACACATAGACACACACACACACATGCAGAGATACTCCGTTGGATATTTATATATACATACTATATAGCGGTATACATAAGGCTTGGGAGAACATTTTCTATTTGCTCATGCGTGCTCCGGATCAAATGACTGAGGCACAAAATTTTAGATACACATTTTGTTTCTTTAACAATTTCGCGATTGTTGATAATTTGTCCATTCCCCTGCTCTATTTATTTAATACCCTACACACATCCCTGGTACCCCCACAGTCAAATGTACTTTTTGTTTTTCAAAACTAACCAATTTTTTCTTTCTTTCTTTTTTCTCACAAAATGTTTCAGAAAAAACATAAATGTTTATCGACACAGAAAAAATAAGAAAAAGATTTTAAGAAAATATATTTATACAAAATATATATAACATACATATACATATATACATATGTATATGCTTCAACGCAGCGTACTACGAATCTTTTCTCTCTAGACAAAATCAACATTTAGTTATATATATATATACAATATGTTTAGTAAATATTAAAAGAAGAATCTGTAGCCGTAGCTGTGTGTAGTATAATACTCAGAATGATTTCTAGCCCTGTTTCTTATATAGTCCTTATGTTGGCTGAAATTCAATAAAAAATATTAAACTTTTTTTTTGAAAACATTTTCTTTCGCTGTGGAAAACGTTATTTTTCAATAAAGCATTTAACATTCATGAGACTCACAAGGTATTTTGTATCGTATTCCGAATTTAAGCATCATGTGATTTCATATTCATGACTTTTCCATTCCCAAGGCTTATTTAGTTCAAATGCAACTTTTTTAATATTATATTTTCAATTTTTGTTTCTTTTCTGCTGACTATTTTTTGTTAAAACCCGCTTTTATTGGATAAATATCGTACGTATATCCAACTGCTTTTATTGACAAATGGGAATTAAATGCATACGCAAACGCAAAACGCTTCGAGCCCCAACTTAATAGATTTTAATAAACTCTTATTCTACCTTCAAATGTAAGCATATTGCAATTGTTGTTTGAGTTACGTTTAATTTGCTTGCTTTTGCTTTTCGATAGCTGTATTTCAATATTGATTTTAGTACACCTGAATATTGATATAAATACTTTCTTTCCACAGTTCCAGCTAATTACGATGCAGAGAAGGCATGGAATGATCATTTGAAGCGCATGCAAGAAATCGAGCGCAGGTGTGTAGACATATATTACATAACACTTTAAATGTAGACTGCGCCTCAATTGAAATACTTGCACTTATCTGTCTGTGTAAACAAATTAATTTATATGAATTCACCTGCTTCTGTAGACAATCAAAGTATATATCTTCTAATATATAGATAGGTAGCATGAGATTAGAATATTCATAAAGCTCTCATTGGGATGATTTTTGCATATTATTGATAATCATATAAGGGACCTAACCAAACATCTCATATTTTCAGATACCCATCTCGCTATGGTCTCTATTTGAGAGACAAGCCACTCACACCAAACTCTTTGGTGCCTTTGGAATACGAGCCAGAGGATAAGCTGTTGGCTGAACTCAACAAGGGTAAGGATATCAAAGACATTTTCTAAATACGTCAAAAAAAAAAAACTCTCAAGAACATCAACAAATTGAGTAACCAACACAACAACAACAACAACATCAACATTTATATAAAAATCTACGAAATTTAAAATTTAATTGATCGAATCCAAATACTTAAAAAAAAAAAAAGATTTGTAAAAATGTCAGAAAATTACAAAATGTAAGCACGAAAAAAAATAGCGAACATCTATTCGAAACAAAGCAAAAGCAACAACAACAGAATTTTTTCAAATTCACTCAAACAAATTTACAGACATTAAAAACAACAACAAGAACAACATGAAACACCAATTCGAAACTTGACAAGCTAATTTTTTAACCCAAGAAATTCGCTTTGTTCAAGTTTCCATTTGACGATTTCTAAATTCGAGTATCTGCCCGATCGAACTATATGTCTTTAACTCTGTATCGTATATACTATATCTTGCAGCAATTCAAGTTTGAAGCGCTGAGCGTTTACATTCGAGAAAAGCTAACTGGTTAAAGGCTTTTGTTTTGGCATAGCTTTAGTAAATTGTAAAATTATGCAGAAATTGTTAATGATATGATAATATGTCTGTAAAAAGAATCCAGCCCCAATATAGTAAATGAAAAACAAAACAAAACAAAATAATTTCGTTAAATGTTTCATTGTATGATATGATGCTTTACTTAATTTTTATTTTTAACTTATTTATACAACATGAGAAAAAACAACGAAAGTAATAAAACCAAACAAAACATATTTAAAATAAAAACAAATGCTAATTTTAATTTAGACATACTCAGCAGATATCATCCATTAAAATTTATAAGCATTCATATATCTCTCAATATATATTAAACATTTTAACTTCCCGTTGCATTCAGATCATGTCAGCTCACTCGATCCCATCAATAAACCCCAAAGTCCACATCCAACTACTTTAAGCCCTAACCACTTTTTTTCTAACAGCTGTACCATAGATAAATGTGAGCTCAATATATACATATATAAATATGTTCTGTATGCAATTTCATGCATATCTATGTGTATATAGCTGGAAATCTATATGAACTGAACTCATTACTCCGAGCGAAACTTTAGATTACTACAAAAGGAATTAATCAATAAAAACTTTGAAATACAAACAAACTGTGTTTTGCATATAATTTTTGTCGACAAATGAGTTTTTCTGTCGTGTTTGCCTATTTTGAATAATTAACTACTTTGATTAATTTTTAAAAAGTATTTTTTGTTTTTATTTCTGTAATTTGATTAATACTATCTGTTGTCCCTCGTCCACTAGTGCGTTCGTCTATATCATCTCTTCGTCGCCCTCCCAGCTTCCAACTACTAAAAAAGAACATAGATACATACACTGTGCGGTGCCTGTAAATAAACTGCCAATACTTAAAAGACTAAACCTTAAAATCAAATGAAATATTTAACGAATCATCGTATGTTCAATGTATTCAACTTGTTCAAAGTTCTCGTTTGGCAGTATTCCGTTGAAATGCAAATTGCATAAATATAATTGTGAAACATCCATTGAATTGTTGTATCAAAAATTTCAAATCAAATTGTTTCGTGCCCACAGTTTTGTAATTTTGTACTTTGTATTTTGGTTAGTGTGTTGTTAAGGGTTTCGATATATGTATGAAATCATCGTTGGGTTGCTTTTTGGTTGGTTTTGTTTGGAAACTAATTTGGTAAGTACTAGCCTTCTTCTAATGTCAATTCTAATACGACTGCAAATGCAATGACAAAGCGATGCATTTGATTAATGTGAACGACGCAAGCAGTCAACAGAGCAGAGCCACTCAACTGAATATATTCTTATATTCTTCTCAGAAAAAGTGCAGTGCACACACTTCTTTGACGTAGTCAAGAGACCTTTGAGCTTACTTAGCTAGAAATGTGGAGAAAAATAAGCAAACATGTCAAAGGCATTGTCAAACAGATTCCCTTATCAACAGGAGAGAGCACATTTTTATTCACGTCTCCATTCGTTTGTGTGTGCCTCGCAGCTCTTAATATACAACTAGCTGGCTAAAGTGACTTAAATTTATATTTTGACATTCTTTGAGGAATTGCCAACAAGCTTGCTCACTCTAGTAATAGCAATATATTTAATCTTGAGCTTCTGTCTCGACTCATCTAAAAGGAATAGTGAACGCGTCTTATGCAGAGCGAGTAGGATTATCCTTTTAAACTAAATTATATATATTTTGTAAATTTTAATTAGCTAAAAAGATAATTCTATACATTGGTCTTCATATGGACTACATTTATTTATTTGATTCTATGTCRTATGGATTTCAAATCTTATACGTAGGTCATCATTATATTGTACGATAAAGATTAATTACAAAGTGAAATCAATATAACACCATCTTTAGTTGAATAAATTTCGTTAATATTACGATATTATGTATATGCGCCTTAGCAAGTGTTAGTTACTAGTAACACATTGAGGCCATTTTCTAATTGAGCTTTCTCCAGGCGGTTGATATTTATAAGGGGGCAAAGGTTAAGGTTCATAAATTAATAGAAAGCTATCATCTTCTAGAGACTGAAAACTTCAGGAAACGTATTATCGTTGAGGCAACTTGAGTGCTGGCTTGTACTATAGCATTATATATTTGTGTATTATTTCTGATATTTTGCAGCACGTCGCTCGGCCTCGCCGTTCCGTCCCAGCCGCACGAGCAGGGCTGGCAGCGAGCCCTACGTGCCTCCGCCAGTCTACTGGAACCGTGAGAGCAGCGTGCCACGTGGTGGACCATCGGTGTTCGATCGCGCCACCAGCTTGGCTCCGTTCACGCGGCCAAGCTTCCGTGCCAGCTCGCTGGAGCCGTTGGATGAACTCTTTGAAAGTAAGTTGCCAACAATTTCTGTGGCCCCGGCCGATGCCGAGGCCGATGTAGCAGCTGCCACTAGGCCTTCGATTTTTGAGCGCGCCGGCTCGCCAAGTCCCACTCCTGTCAAAGCCGGTCGCTGGGGACCACGCCCCACCGAAGTCGCCTACGATGCTGAGGGTAAAAATCGAAATTCTTCTTATCCGTTTTCCTTTTATACAAGAAGAGACAAAATTTACTCGTTGTTGTTTTAATGGCAATGATGATAATGACGCCACTGATGCTGATGTTGATGAACGTGTTGAAAAATTATTGCCATATTTTTCGCGATGCGTTCGTATCTGTTTCAGTGACAGTGCCTGTCGGCAGAATTTGTCAAAATATTATATATATATATATATATCAAATTTGTTTTTGGCTGTTATTCAACATTTTTATTACGTACTGCAAACAGCCATGGCAACAAAAATATATGTTAGCTCAGCAGTAAGCGCCGTGCTTAAAGTACTTAAACCTAAGCGCTACTTCCCCTCCTTCATATTGCTTTTAGAAATGCTTTTCGTAGCGCCTGTTGCCTATCCTGTTGAAATTATTCACCCGCTCTCTCTCTTTGGCCTATCTACATATACTCTTCATGTTCTACTTCCCTTTTTTTTTGGTAATTTTTCCAACCTCACATACGCATGGGAAATATCAAGAAAAAAAATTGTTTATGTTGTCTTTTCTTGTTTTTTTTGTTTAATTTTTGTATTTTAGTTTAAAAGCCAAGCCAAACATATTTTTCTTTCTGCTCTTCTTGTATACATTGCAATACAACAACAACAACAAAACAACAAACAATCAAATCTACAAATCTTATTGCATACCCTTTACCAACAACACGATGACTCTGCTACTTGACAATGACAACAACACGAACCCAATCGCTATGTCGAACCACAAACAGGACTTCCAATCTTCCATCCACGCAACCGCTTCAGGGATATGCTGAGCCCCAGCCCCAAGCTGCCGATCTCGTCGATTGTGCGCGATCCCTTCTGGTGGGATGTGGATGATCTGGTGCCCTTCCGAGCCACCTCGGTGCCCCGCGCCTCGAGCCCCGTGGCCCGTGATTCGTATTTGTCGCCGGTGAAGAACCGCTATCTATGGTCGAGACACCCAGCCAGACCCCTGACACGTAAGTACTGGCAAGCCGACATACACTGCCAATATACAGATATATATTTATTTTGTATATACAATGCAAAGCACCCTGTATATATTCTTCTCTTGCTCTTCACTGGCAATCTCTATACCACTATCTTGGAATTCATGAATCTCATTTCAAATGCTGCTCAAAGAAAACTTATTCAAAGCATGAGCGAGTTGCATATGATAGATATAAAATCTTAGACATACTTGGTCGAAACTTAGTTTATTGAAATTCCCATTGTAATTTTATTCAAAATGGATCTTTTAACATTATTATTTTTATTTTATTTACATTTTTTTTGTGCCCAACACAGCTGAGGCAGAGGATATTTTCTAAAACATAAAAAATGAAACATAAACATCAAAATAAAGCCAAATCACAACTCAAAATCGTTAGCTCTAATAACAACCGATGCTATATCACATAGCACTTCTGTAATTTTTTTGTACTTTAATTTACATAAATTACATGTAACGAAATGCAATACAAACAAATTGGTAAGAATATTATGTAAAACAAAAACAAAACAAAACAAAACCCTGCAGCATGTCCAAAATACTGTTCGTGCATACTATCCCGTAGAACCCCTTGATATTCGTAGTAAATTCACATACTTTTATATACTTATATAGATTTTAGTAGTGGTAACAATTATTTGACAATTTGAACAACTTTAGAAAATTGTGATTAACCAATTAGAAATTACCAAAATTTGCTTAGAAAATTTGCACGCAAACTTTTTCATATATGTTTTCTTTATCGATTCAGTTATGATAACATTTGATTAACGAATTATTTCCCTACAGCTCACCGCTCAATTTTGTAAACGAACGAAAACGAACTATGAAACAACAACAACTACACTTACAACAACAACAACAACAACGAATGCATCAATGGGGTCCCCAATAACCAACAACGACTAGCTTTTTGGTTTCCAAGTCAAGAACCGGAAATCAGTGAAAGTAGCAAAATATATCTATATAAAGACTATATATATAGCCTTTGAGTCCTCAACAACGATTGAATTTTTTCAAAACTGCCAGCCCCAGAAGATCCGGGTGCTGCCTCCACTTTAAAAATTGCCATCAAGTGCTTACTTCCCGTAGTAAATATAATAGCAAACATAATACTTATATAATAAAGGAAGGAGAAGAATGCAAAGGGAAACCTTTTTAACAACAACTCTCAATATCAAATTCTTATTTGCAATTTTATTTATTTTTTTTTTAGCTCATGTCTTAGTAATAAGTGCAAGTATATGAAAAACCAAAAAATCGATTTACATTTATTATAATAAAAGAATGAATCAAATCTCTTATGAGTCGCCCTTGAACAGCCCGAGCGCCATAAATTGTTCCTTTTTTGTATATCTTAGATGCTACATATATATACTATAATTATTTGTATCAATAACATAAAAAATACTCGAATTTCAAGTATAAATCGTTTCAATTTCAAAGTTCATAATAAAATTAATGCTGTAAGAATAGATGAACCTTTCACTGCATATAAGAGAAAATATCTGCCATATTATACATGCAAACAATCAAACACTGCGGCTTTGCATATTTTCAATTTGTAATATGTCTACAACAAAATATGAAATTCTGGAAAAAACAAAAAAATAATAAAAAGTTCAAAAAGCCCAAAGCGTTTTCGATTTACATTTACTCAGATGCTGCCTGCCGTGCTAGTAATCCTCGAAGCCATTACAGATGGAGGAAAGAGACAAACAATAAGGTTGAACATTTCAGTTCATAATTTATTGATAATACTCGTACGTTACAATAAAATATAGTCAACTTTCTTACAGCCTTATGTTTTATACTATATGTTATATATATATTCTAACTCTGTCTCTATACATATAAGAAACGCTTTACTCTTTTTGTTAGAGTTTGTCCGTCGAGCGTTTAAAAATTATTTAAAATATCTTAGTTTTCTTACTGAAAAGTTTTTCAGTCAAAGTTGACTAAAAATGATTTAATATTTACATGCAGGAATAAACCAATGGTAAAGAGTTTGAATAAAAATAGAAATGGTTAATATTTGTTTTCATATATATTCGGTTTTATACTCTGAGGCGGAATAAAGCCTGGCAGACCCCATGAAGTATATATATTCATGATTAGGGCGACGAGCTGACTCGACTTAGCTCTGTCCATCTGTCTGTCCGTATGAGCGCCTAGATCTCAGATGATATGAGAGCTAGAGAGCTGAAATTTTGCATGTACTTATACATGTATGTATGTTTACCATAGCAGTACAAGTTTATCAGATTTTGTCGATAACTCATCTGATAACTTTTCTTATCGAGAATAATCGATAAATTGACTGTGGTTTTTTTTTAGCATAATTTGAACACTTTTAGGCCTGCAAGCTCCCGATTTATTATATATTTATTACATTTGATGAACACGAAAATTTACAGAATTTGGATACCACGCCGCCTTCGCTCTCAATTTGAATTTCGTATTTCAAGTACTAGAGACTTGTGCTTTGGAGTGTACACACATTTTAACCATATGATCACGCTCTGAAAGTTTCAAAATAATAGTCCTACAACAAGAGAAATTATTAAGTTCTCACAGTATTGCAGCGCACCCCCAATGCACTATGGGAAAAAAGTACGATATTTTGGCATTAATACAATTTTTTTGTTGTCTCAAACCGCTAAACAAATATTTTTTTCCAATTCTAAATTCATTAGATAGAATCAAAATATTTTTGTTAAATTTTTGGGGACTACCCCTATTATTTGATAATTTTACAAAGTCAGCTGATTCAGCGCTGCATTGCAATGTGAAAAAGCGCGCCAAGTAGATCGCAGCTTTTTAGCTGTATAAAATTTATTTGTTAATCGCATAAATTAAAACTTAATATGGAAAAAGTTAATAAAGGTATATATAATAAGTGTCCGTAGTGATTTTGTATACTTCTGTGTTTTTGTGTAACTGTGCAATGTGTTGTTCATGTGTATTTTTAGCTTAATCCTAACNTGAAAAATCATGAAGGTGATTCAAGTGACGAATGGACAGAAGACGAGGATATTGCATTTAATATTGAATTAGAAGAAGAATGAGACTAATTTTAGTTCAACAATATGAAAATATGAAAAGAACTGTCAAATTCATACTAACGGCAAAAAATATCAAAGAAAAAAATTATAGGGGTCAAATCAGGGTCAAATTGAAAAAACCAAAAAAATCCGAAATTAAATTAAAGTCTGAAGAGCATCCACAAAAAATTTCATATCTCTAGCTCATTATTTGGAATTAATGCCAAAAAAATGGGATTTTTTCCCATAGTGCAATGCAGTCGCTGCTAACTGCGCCGTCAGCAGAGCGCGTGATTATACTTGCGTGTGAATGAAGAAGTGCAGAAGAAGTGCAGAATCAGCTTGGAGGGTTCAGGGTATCTCCTAGTCGAGCAGTCTCGACTGGAGCCTTTTTACTTGTTTTTTTTTTTTTTTCATAGATTCCTGCGCATTCTATTCCCACCATCAAGTACAACCCGTTCCCCCTAAATTTGCAAAAAGCGTACTTAAAGTAGTTAAGACTTGAGCTTCAGCAACTACACACATTTTAGTTTTATGTCAACTTATTTGGAAATTCTTGCTGACCGATACTATTTGAATGTTCATGTCAAATTTATGTGGCAGATAAGAGAGTTTTTGACATGAACTGAAATTGAAAATTAATGGTGCCGAATTTGTATCTACCAAAGGGTAGCGAGAAATTAAAATGAGCAACGGCCAATATGAATGGAATGGTTTCGTGAACGCTGCGTGCCTGGACTCTGACCTTAATTAATTTAAAACATCTAGAGCTTAGTCAACTAATGGACAGCGCTGTAAACATGTCATAGAACTGTCCATGTTTCCATTTCTTTTCTGCCAATGTCATTTATCTTTTCATTTGCTGTAGCTGCTCCTGCTGCTGTTGCTGCTATCGTTTCCTCTTTCCACTTACTTTTTTCGTATGTTCAACAATTTTTTTGACTTTGACGTTTTTGGCGTTTAGCACGCAATTGTTTCGCACTTTTTGTTTGTCTTGGTGTTCTTGTTGCTGTTGCTCCTACTGTTGCTGTGCTGAGTCTGCAACGAGTCCTTCGAGTCCTCATGGACATATGCACACGCTCCATTGTGCTGGAGCGCCCTAATTTTCTTTTCTTTATTGTTTCTGACCATTGCCTACAATGTTTTATTTTCTCTTGCTGCTTCGAATTTTTCTTCTATTTAATTATTGATTCACACCAGTTCGATTGGCTAAGGTCATTCAATGTCAATTATATTTCCTGCCTGGGTTCTGTTCTTTGGAGATTTGATGTTCATGTCGCTTTTTTTTCTTACATCATTTCAATTACGTTTAACTGTTGTTTTGATGTGTCCCTCGATGATTTGGCAAGTGGTATACCGTTGATCCTTCATGTGTTCCCGGAGCGTATGCCAAGTCATGTGGAGACATCCTTTTCAATGTGTGCCCAAAGCGTTTAATTAAAAATTTAATCTCCATGTCAAATTACCCGCATCTCCTGCGCTCTGCGTCCTACGTCCACACACCGGGAGTGCCACAAAGTTGTTAGAAGAAACTCTAGCACGCTTTTCACAGCGCATATACTAAAAAGCATTTGCGGCTGCTTTATTCGTTGAGGTGTAATCATTTGCATAAAAAGACCCATTTTAAAACATAAAACAAACATTATTTTACACTTGTGTAAGAATCGGAAACAGCATAAATTTCGGCCTTTTTACAAGACACTGATCAGACATAAGCTTCAAGATAATATGACACGGCTTATAGGAATTCCATTCTTCACAGCTTTAAACCTAGGATCACTGAACCTTGCAGTTGCATTGCTCTTGAATTTACTTATGTAATAATCTTTGAGAAAAATGATCTAGTAAAACTATCTAGTGGTATATCAGGTTATGTGGATTTTGTACAAGCATTTCATTTATTAGTCTGCAATATCTTTACGACCTTGATCTCATCACTAATAGAGTAACAGAGCATCCCTGCTTGTAAGTTCTTTTTGATGGACTTTTTATTTTTTAATTAAAATAAA